CAGCACATACAATAGCAGCAGTCAACAGAAAACATGCAGGTCAAGAATAAAATACAGCACTGAATCGGGACATTACAGATCAAGCAACTGGTAACAAAAAGCACACTGTCAAGAAAAAATTGCTGGAGATCGTCGGATCGCAGAGAACCAGGAGCCGCAGCACATACAATAGCAGCAGTCAACAGGAAACATGCAGGTTAACAATAACATAAATCGGTATACAAAGGGTACACTACAGATCAAGCCACAAATATCAAACTAAAAATTAAGAAAAAGCACACATTGTAGAGAAGAACCTGCCAACGCTCGTCGAGTTGCTGGAGTGGATTGGAAAGGAGATCGTGAGAGCCCAGAGAACCAGGAGCCGCAGAACTGAAGGCAAAAGAAAAAGGAGCAAGTTAACAAGATATCGGACTTGCAGAATCGATTCACTTGAAGTTCTGAAATCTATTAACTGTTTAAATAAAATGCCGAAATAAAAAAAAATAAAAACACTCAACCAATAAACCATCGAAAATCACCAATGCATCTCAGTCCTACTACTCCAATATTTAGAAAATACATTCAGCCTCACACCTACAGCGTGTATATAATTCGAATGAACTCTGCTTTAAAACCATCGATAAAATGTGTTGGTATATCCATGTTTACCCAATGAATTCTAAAGATGAATAAAAGTAGCATAAAAAAGAACCAGCGCCTTTGAGTTTACTCCACAAAAGCACCATGAAACGAAAAGAAGTGATCAAGTTGGTATAAAACTGTTCTTTTGTTAAAACGCTGGGAAATACGTGTTGTTTTATCGAGTTACACAAATAGTATTAGCGGAAGGTAGGAATAGAACTTACCTTGGAAAAAACACTTTCATAAGAGGTCCGTTCTTGAAATCCTTTTTAATGACCTAGACAAATAAAAAAAAGCCTACGAATTAGTCAATTTAATCTTTACAACATTTTATAATTTCTGAGCGGTAAACGTTATTACAGCCCGAATCCGAAAAGCAGAGATTACACAGCTACTGCCTTTAGGAAGTAAATGTTTGCAGATAAAATACAGCCTTTTTTCGTTAGAAGAAACAGACCTTATCTTACAAAACATACTTACATGAAAGGTACTATAAAAACGCTGAATGCAGACTTTTAAAACTTCGAGAGCACGCTCAAACAGAACACTCATTTCGGCGTCCTAAAACACAAATTAAACAAGAACAAACGCAATTAACAAATGTTGCAACAACAATACATTTTGTCTAGCTTTCCTCAAAGTGAAATTTGAGTTTTTGTATTTAAAATAAGAAAATGCGACATTAAACGCAAACGGACCTCACGCCGCAGAAACTCTCCCCGCTGCCATCTTGCCGGGCGCACCTGTGGAACAGGTGGACGGGGCGTGTCCGCTGAGGAAGGTCACTCTGGGGGCGGGCTCGGCTCATGAACAACAGCTGTGCGCTCGGTTACAAGGGCTCAACACTCACACTACTGAAGATAAAAAGAAACTTGAACTCACCAAATCATACATAAAGTATGTAACGGCTGAAGATTTTCAGAGAACCCAATTCAGGGACATTCTCCTACAAAACTGTTCGCCTGACCCGTTTAGCTTGCGGCCAGCTGGTCGAATCAAGAGAAATGTGCTGGAGAGAGACCCCTGTCGCTCCTAGTTAGGACTGCACCTCTCTCTCACTGCTAGTGCCACACCTATCCTGCAGGTGTCTCAGTGGTATAAGGGGCTGCTTTTTCGAATTGAATTCCGGTCTATGCATTTATAAAGGTCTTAAACCCCCCTATTTTCCCTGTTTTGGAAGGCCCCGAAAATGGAGCCCCCCAAAACGGCCGGCGTGGTAGAGAACAGCCACTTCGACAAACTCACCCCGACAGCATGAGAGCTTCACCCGGGGATCAGGTCTCAGACCGGGGATTAGGTCTCAGACTGCCGGGGAGGCTCGGGGCTCGACTTTAACTCACAAGACTCTCCGGGAGTCGATCTGCTCTCTGAACTTTAGAAGTGCCCGATGGTTCAGCCCGCGGAGCCACCAGGCCGGCCACGCAAAATACCGGCCATGTACATCTCTTATTCAGACTAAAGCCAAGTCACAGTCCCGTGACGAGGCGGTTTCCACTGTTTGCCCGCTAATCAAGCGTTAAATTAAGGCTACTGATGTGCCCTTGTAATGCGCTTTTCTAGCCTTTTTGGTGATTGTTCATCTTTTCGATTGACAGTAAAAAATAAAGCATCAAACTATGCAGTAGACTTGGGGGAGTCTGTATGTCTTGTGTCAGGCTTGAAGTCTGAGAGGTTAAGTGTTGATGTTTTTTTTTTTAAACAAAATGTCTGAAATGATTCTAAAGATACCTTTTTTTAAACAAAAAGTACATAAACGATTAAATCGGTCTAAATGCTTTGCACCCCAGCTGATGTCTGAACAGAGTATCTCTTTAGTTCCTCTATACCAGTAGGTGTCAATTTCCACGGGCGTCCGACAAGGTTCCACATAGAAGATTAAATATTTAATAATGAAAAGCGATGCGTGTAAATGGAATGTCAACCGGTGTATGCACAGAAAACAGAAGTGATCAGGATTAATAACTAGTTTTGCAATCAATGGAGCATCACTTCGCTCCTTATTATTAGTATTAGAAAAGCTTTTATTTAATATACTGTAAAAGTCAAAATGTAGTCAAATGAAAATAGGGGGAAGGCGACAATGTCTTTGAGTATCAGTCGGCTGGCAAAGAACTAGTGGAAGGTATTTAGGAGTTGTATATTTTATATTTCTAAGAGAGAGATGCAAATTCATTTTGATTAATTTAAAAAGTAATTAAAATTCAATATCGTGTTATACTGTACACCGATACACAGGTTATACAGTGAAAAGGTTTGGGTAACCACTGTAAATAAGTGATGTACAGTACAGAAATCATAGGTGAGATTGAGCGCAAACAGTAAAATTCTTACTTCTTGACCCAAACTTAAAAGGCATTCCATTCTCAAACTGTTTCTGGCGCAACATTGACACTAATTTCTAACCTTAACCTCTTCCTGACCTGAATCCCTGGGGATGAATAAAGTATGTTGAATTAAACTGAATTGAAAACACAACTCCTTTTTTTAATGTTGTTATTTTTCATTTTAATGTTCAAATAAAATTTCAAGAAGGTTACTATATCAATACTTCAATACAAAGACATGGACAATGTGATATATGCTCAATCATTTTATGTGAAAATAACATTTTCAAACACTCGCGAGGTCTGCATGTGTGAGACGATAAGAGTTTCCAAAGTTGTTTTGGAGATGTGTTATTAACTTCCCAAGTCAACTTAATACATCGTGGCGCCTTACAAAACAATTTCCAGGTTATTTTACACGTCTCCGAATCTGCTTTGCATAAAATAGTATAGCAATGGTCTTGGACTACAAGAAGTTGCTAATTCTATTTTTTTTTCTAAAACGTGGCTCGAAAGACGAGACGAATCTTTAAACGTCCATTGACATATTTTAAAACGGACACAATGAAAAACGAATTACTTCTGGTCTAAAAAAAAACCTGTTGACACAGCAACGAAGTATTCAAACGTGCTAGTTAAAGCCTTTTTTTAAGTCGTTTGCTAATATTCGCTTTTTGAGGCTAAACCCGCCACTCGTGTGATTACGGTATGATGACGGAACCAAACTCGAGTTTCCCGTTCACACCAACCACTCGTGTTAAATGCAAAATCAACCACTCCCCGACAAACAGAGAAACAAAATTGTAGACATACAGTACTTATCCTTGCACCAGCAAGTGCTTGAACTTTCCATACAGCGTTACTAGCGGTGACTACCCGAAAAAGAAAGGCGCTATACAGTATCTCGGGAACGAACGCAGCTGTGAAGCTACTTTCAACACAGACTGCACAAACGCAGCCCTAATGAATGCGTTTGATCGTCTGTGTGGGGGAACCAACTTCACAGAGCTAAAGAGCGATCTATTTTTTGCGAGAGTCAGACTGAAACTCACTTTACAACCAATTTTTCACCTCAGCTTAAGTCTTTCAACGACGTTTAATGTTTAGAACCATAACATCCCTCGCCCCCCACCTTCTTATCTCACGACGAAACCTTTTTTAACTCGTTTTTGAAATTTGTGTATTCTGCTTCTTAATTATCTTTGTATTTTGTATCCAATGTGCAATTAGCGAAAGTAAATGAATTGGTTTTGGAATAGAAACAGTGTCACAACAGTGATGAGGACACGCACTCGAAAAATCGTCTATCAGGAGGCGCAGTCGAGATAAGAATGTTTTTTTTCCACCCTGACGCAGAGACCCCCATCCTTCCAAACTACATCATGATGGTAGCAGCTTCATGCAATATATAAGTTCCAAATAAACCAACCGCAGCCTCCTTATTATTTTTCAGTTACAGCCATGAGTTAAAAACTAGTCTGATGGTATTTACAGATATAAAATGTTCTTTCGATGAATGGACTTTGGTCTGCTACCATTTCCATTAACTTAGCAAGAATAAACCAATTAAGTATTGAGCCTAGCGTTACATGCACCAAATCAACAAGAACTTGCGACTATACATTTCCTCTCCATTTAAATTTATTTTTTTTTTTGCGGTGCAAAGATCCTCAGGTTTGATTGGCAAACAACGTCCAGTTACATTTCGCGGTGATCTCTGAACCCCGCCCTGAAAGAACCATCTTTACCAGGACAGACAGAAACACTGGCAAGTAACCAAAGTTACTTAGATTCCCTCTCATCTCCACTTGCTCTTTGCTTTGAGTGATAGCTGAGAATAATAAGTGAACAGAAAAGAGTGCATTGGTTCTTATTATTTTTTCCAGAATCCAAAGCAGTAATTTACGTTACATCTATCAAAATAGTGTCTTGATCTAGAATATTTTCTAGGGCTTAAGGCTGTTTTAATGATATATTCTCAATGAAATACTGTTTGAGACAAGGAGTTGAAAGAAAATCAGAACTGCCACACTGACTGCGCCTTGGATGGACTGGCGAAAAATAATGTAATCGTCTTGTCCTGTCCTGTCACAGATTTGAATGCATTCGGTGGATTCCAGTGCTGGATTAACCTCTGCTTCTTCCTCTCGCAGGCCAGATGCAAACACAGATCTCCCCTGTAAACCCCAGTATTCAGAACATTTACTGTCCTCCTCTGAGATTTAAGGGAGTCCAGGTGAGATATTTTGGGTTATAAGCTTTCCCCCCTGAATTCATTACGGCAGAAGTCTCCAGACCTCGTCCTGGAGACACACGCATACCTGCCACCACAATTCCAGCCTTAATTGAAGTCGCTTCTGTTAGTTTTTCCTGTGAAACGCGCCCGTTAAAGGGCCATTTCCACCATGTTCAAGAGCGGAAGGAGATGCAACTGTTTCTATTACGAAGTCAGTTAGAGGTTCAGTTGTGTAAGTCAGGGCTGGGCTGGAACAAAGCCCAGCAGAAGCATGAGCCTCCAGCCCCCCGACCGACAGGATGTGAAAGACACCAGCTCTATTCTGAGAGGGTGTTCTCCTTTCTCAGGGTATGGGCACCACAGGGTGACATAATATGGAGAGCACAAGCGATGGGAGGGAATATGAACACCAGTGTGATAAGAGAGACTGAAACAGTTCTCCGTTTAAGCACCCAGAAAGTTTCTAGTGTGCCAAAGTAACGAAAGTACCCTTGAAAAGACTGGCTACTGTTCTTATCAATGCCAGGAGAGGAAATCGAGCGATTTTGCCTTAACCCACACATCTTACCACAGCACACGGCTCAGTGGGTGGGCTGCGGCTCAGCACAAGCTAAACAAAAGCCTGCAGTCTGCGAGAATGCTGACGAACACGAGAGTCAAAACTGTCTTTTGGGACATCAGATGCAAATGGGAACTATCTCAGGCCGATCTCACTCTGTTGATCTCTTCCAGGGAATCCGGTTTTGTCCGAAAGACCCTCTTGGCAACACTGCAGAAGTTGTTTTGACCTGCTTAACAAACGGGGTAAAACAGTTGATTTAAATACATGCTCATTATGAATGAAAATCGAGACTTGGGATGCACAATTCCTATTGTCCTTCTATGTATCCTGATTTATACTGATTAATGCATCCTTGATTATACTTCTGTAAATTGGTGAAAACTGAAAATAAAGAAAGCTTAGGTCAGCAGTTTCAATATTTCTCACATACTCCATACATTTGAGCCTTAAGAGGTCAGTCATTCATCACTGAATCAACCTAATCTAATTACCATTAATAAGAAAAAAAATTAACTTAATAAATTGCTCTCAATATTTATATCTGAGGATCATTACAGATCGTAGATGAAATGGGCTTTGCAGCTCTTGGGTTCAATTGCAGGTGGGGACACCTTCTGTCTGTTCTCAGTCTGTTCATATAGCTTACGGCACAGATGTCACTAGAAAAGTCTTCTTCTGAAACTGAGCTTTTAAGACATAACACTTGCCACAGATGGATGTTTTCTGCAACTCTTTTTTTCTTGAATGTTATATAAAAACCTGTACATTTCATAAGCAAGAATAAGATGCAGTGAAAAAAAGTCTGGGCTTGAGGACTATAGAGTACAAATCTGTCATGTTTTAATCAATGGTTATGACACGAATTAATGGCACTCAACACTTGGAACAAATGTATATTTTTGTGATTCATTTATTAGGTTATTGCTGGTGTGTAGTAATCTAGATTCTGCCTTAGTCAGTACTGCTGATGAAGTTGTTCCCGTGTTAGAAACCACAAGATTTGTTTTTAAAATAAGGTGAAAAGTCCCTCGTCCAACGTCACACATAGCTCAAACAGATGTCTGTCTGAACACAAGTACAGTACAGTTCCCCAATTGTAAACAGGCAGGTGGTCGCTAAGGCCACCTTAACAAGGTTTGTTTCTCAACTATTTTCGAGTTATGCTCCTCGGGCCCAGAATACTCTTTCTAATAAACCCAGACATTAACCCTAGATTTCATCCTTCATTCACAAAATGAGAGGTATCTCTACTCATGGCAGCTGCTTTTTGCTAGGGACCATTCTGTCTGCATGACTGATGTAGAAATGAAATTGAGCCATCTCAGATTTTCTTTCTGAATAAAATCAAACGGCAGAACTCGTTCCTATTAGTAACAGATTAACACATCTCTGGGAGCTCCAGTTTCCTCCCACAGTCCACAGACAAACTGGCAGGTTCACTGGCTTCTGTACAAATGGCCCTGGTTTGTGTGTGTGTGCCTGTCTGTGTCTGTGCCCTGTGATGGACTTGCCAGAATAGGCTCTGGCTCTCCTGCGTCTCTGTATTGGATTAAGTGGTTAGAAGGTGGATGGATTAGATTTGCATCGAAGAACAGCCTTCCTTATTTGACCAAATTGGGTCTCGCAATAACATCAGTAATTTTACACTGTCTTCTATATTTTAAAGCATCATGAGGTCATCGAACCCCAGGCAATACTCTAGCTAATCTCCTGGTAAGGACAGTGTGTCACCCAACAAGTCCTGAAGCCTCTGTGGGGATTAGTACACTGAACAACATAAAATTCCTGAAGATTGCATCACGGAAATGGAGAACAGACCTTTTTAGTCTACAATTTCAATGTACATAATGGGAGTGAAACTACAGTATAAGCTTAACCGGAACACTTAATGCCTGAAAAACTACATTTTTCCTCAGAAAGCCATCAACAGCTGGTGTGAGACAACAGCTTTTAATGCCAGGGTCACTGCTTTGCTAACATGTTGAAATGCACATTTACCACATTTATGGTCATCCTCGCCGAGATTCAACTACGCTGGCAACCTAAGAAGTTGTGACAAGTATTTCCACCTAAATAAATACAAAAGAGACATATTTAAGTTGCAGTGTAGTCTTGGAGATCACGGTCCTGCTAGCAACGTGTTGAGGATGTCTGTCTTCTGAAGGGACACACGGGAACCTTCCTCATTCTCTTGGGCCATGACCTGAAGAAGCCAGTCAGCTCATTCAGGGGATTATTGGCGCAGGTTCTCGGGGGCAGTTAAGAGCTCCGGTGAAGACTGTGCTGCCCCTGAATGTCGTAGACAGAAGTAACTTTGTTTTGTTAAGTTTGCTGTAGAAACGTTTTTAAAATACAGCTGCGAGCTGGATATGCGTGCCAGCAGGGGTCGCGTCTTCGGACAAACCTCCTCGAACACAAACGCAAAACGCGTTCGACAGCGAATAACCCCCTCTCCCACGTTTCCTCACTCGACCGCCTGGTCACCCTCCCTCTGCAGCCACACATTTACAGCACCAGGGCAGTAGCTCAGAGTGAATGAAACTCTCAGAGCCCCCGGCTCGCACATACAGCGCCGAGAAGGGAGTGGGCGGACCTCGCAGATCTTTTCAAACACTGCGTGTCTTTCTTCCGAAGGAGGGGGCCAGGGCAGGATGTCAAAAGAGTTTTTCAACGACCACCACCGGCCGCGTGGGAGGGCTTGCGTCCTGTGTGTGGGAGTCAGGGGACGTCACCGCGGAAACCGGAGATGCTGGGGGCTGCGCTCAGGGGGGCGATTTCATAAACCCCAGAGCCATGACCCCACACCCCCAAAAAAACACTTACTGGACTGGGCAGCCGCAAATGCCTGGGACTCAGCTGGGAAGCGTTTTGTTCTCTTCCTCTGCCTGCCCAAATAAGGGTCAATTTTTCCTTCCTAACCCTCATAAAGCCCCGTCCCCAGTACCTTAGTGCACGGTCACTGATTCTGCCTGTGCTTGACGGGGGGACGTCTCGGGGTCCTTGGTCATGAAGAAAGGTTATATACAGGACATAGGAGGCCATGTGGGCACGGGGCATCTTGGGAAGGTTGGGACCAGGGGTCTCGCTCACTCTCGGTCCTTCGATGAGCAGGCTGGGGGGAGAGGTAAGGCCGCGTGCCTCGGTGATGGAGGTCAAGTCCAATGGTAGCGGTCCGCCAGCCGCCGGCTCAGGGCTGCCGCTGCAGTGCTCAGTAGTGGGGCTCGCAGTCCTCCACCAGGCTGTCTGTGATGTAGCCGATCCCCAGCAGCTCCCGGTAATACTGCTTCTCGGCCGAGGTGTTGATGGTCCAGCCCACCACCTCGACGCCCCGCTCGGCCCAGTACTGCACGTAGTCCCTGCCGGGGAAGAGGGCGACGCGCCCGGGGTTAGACACCATCGTTTCCTGTGTGCTTCCCCTGGCCAGTACTCAAACCTGCCTCACCAGCTTGGCGCTGAGCCCTACGTATGAGCAGAGGACGACAAGCGCAGCACAGCTGCAACTCCGATCGGAGCCCCACATATTATCATTCTGAATCTTACTGTGTTCCAGCTAACTAGGGGTACGATTGAGTGTACACTCATCTTCACTGCCACAGAACGTAGGAATGGTCTCTGAAACACTGCCCACTCAACAGAACACGGGATTTAATGTCTCCGTGAACTGTGATACTCTGGACCCCCGCACATCTTGACAAATACATCCGTTATTCCCCAAAGTGGCTTTTACAGAACAGATTCCAGTCACAGATACTCTAAAGGAACAGGAGTCTCTGCGCTACAGTGGCAGGTCGGCTGCTCAGCTCTGCAGGTAAAGGGGTCAAAGAGGTCAGCGAAACAGGCTAACGGCTGGCGTGACGCCCTTCGCCCACGGCCTGCGTGTCTTTCTCCCGCGGACCGGGGGGAGTGCAGAGCAGGCCTGTTCCCCGGCCCCCGTACTCACGGCGAGATGAAGTTCTTCTGCATGAGGAAGGCCGACACCCCGCACAGGTGCCACAGCAGCTGGTGGTGGCTCCAGTCCAGCAGCACGTCCAGCAGCTGGAACCAGTGGTGCTTCCAGGGGGAGGAGAAGCGTGGCTCGCCGTCGCCCCAGCGGCTGAGACTCCAGGGCCGGTGGGTCAGGGCGGTCAGCACCTCGGGGTCGGCCTGGCGCATCTGCAACAGCCCAGCAGCCCGCGGTAAGGAACCGCGGGAGAGAGAGAGCACAGCCTTCCCCCCTAAACGGGTCCTGAACCCAGTGTCTGTGCCACTTCCTGTGCTCCTGGAGGTGACTGAACAGGCCGCCGTGTTCGATTATGAGCAGTTGCCACAGGGCACATCACTGGCCTGCGGTCACCTGCGCATGAAAGCTCCGACACACACAGCATGGATGTGTACGGTAGTGGAGGATCGGAGAATTAACCTTGCAAAAATCGTAGGGTGCTTCTCTGAGGTTCATGCAATAAGTAAGAAACCTTTCTTTCACGTGGAGACAAAACAAACCCTGCCAGAAAACTTCATGTCAATGTCTTGGGGGGCCACATTTGTGGGTAATGAGCTAGAAACTAAGAATATGAAAAAGACGGGCGTAACTGAGACCCAGCGATTACACGTTTCTTGGGCCCAATCTGTTTTCTGAGTGAAGGCCTGTACTACCCGCTAGCCCACTGGAAAACCTACAGCCAAGATTCCAGAAGGAATATTCCTTTACAGCTGTCTCGGTTTAAAACAATAGCAAAGGAGAGACCCCCAGTACTAATGAGCTTTATGAAAACAGGTAAGCAATGCATTACAGTACAAATAAATGAAAATGTCAATCTGTACCTTGTAGATGACCTTTGGCTCAAAGGAACAGACAATGCTGGTGTTGTAGAGCACAGGATATTCTTTGTAGATTTCCTTCAGTGCTGCAGCAGCCTGAAATTGCAGGGCAAGGTTAAAATGTCACTAAAGTTAACCAGAAGTGCTTAGCCTGTCCTTCCTTTAATCTCCTAAATCCAGTGATTGTGTGTTCCCTGCAGATTGCTCAGCCAGGAAGTCTTCAGTATCTGCACCTGAAATCTGAGCCTCTACTAAGATACAACAGGATTTCTAAATCAGGATTTCCACCTACTAGTTCAAGTAGGGAGCTGCGTCAGCATACGAAGGCTGCAACTGAGCAAGTAAAGGTTCATTCCTGCTGAAAAGAGAAGAAAAAAACCCAACAACATCACCTGAAGAAGGCTCCATTAGCCAACATTTTGTGTTTCTTTGCTTCTTTATTCAGCATGGAATAAACTTTTACTTGTTCCTTTTCACCTACTAATTCTGGCATTGGGGGTATACTGTAATTTAGGCATCCGCTAACGTTTAGAGTACTATTTTTGAAATGATTAGGTAAAACCTGCGTTTTCACCCTGCAGTGCGATTGAGCTGCAGAGGTCCGAGAAGATTAATTTCACAGAGGGCCTGCTCACTAAAGCAGACCAAATAAGCTCAGTGCCTTTTCTCTCCCTGGAAGTCAGGGTGCCAGTTCTGGTACTGTACGTGCCACCCATGAGGTCCGATTGAGCTCCGGTGGCACCAGAACGCACTGTGCTCTTGGCACAGTTCACCAGCTCCGATTGCAGGTTAAGCAAGGGGTGGCTCAGTTAACCTGTGGCTTGGAGAACACCACCCAGCCTGTCCAGAAGAGCGACTTCATGCCCTGGCTAACAGGAAAACCTTTATCCTTCGATAGCTTGTCTCTTGCCCGTGAGCTGCTGCCACACCTGGTCTGCATGGCCCTTGACGTCGAAGTAGATGGTGAGCTCGTTCTTGGTGCACTCCTCCACCGCCTCCTTCAGCGTGGGCACCCTCTCGCCCCGGAACCTGTCCCTGTAACCAGGCACACGCCAGCTGCCGTCACACTTCACCATAACCACTGCATCTCCCCCCGGAATCAACACCGCCTGCCAGGCGTCTGTCCAGACACCCTCCAGGACTGGTGACGCGGACGTTGCCGACAAGCACAGAGTAGTACACGCAGGTAGCAGAAGCAAACTACAGATACAAACTGGGACACGCTGAGCTTGAAGAGGCTACTTATGATAAACATTTACGAAAAGACATATCATTTACATCTTCTAGACACTGCAGGGAGGCACTTAAATTGACAAACGTTGCCAGGATCTGTAGTTATTCTGTCAAAACTGTAGTGTAATTTAAACCCAAGGGTGTCATGTCAGGCCAGCACAGTGGATCTGTGGTAAGCATTGCTCAGGGGCCCAGGGTTCGATTTCTGGGGTGCTGTCTGTGTGGAGTTTGTACAGTATGCCCCCCCCCATGTTTGCTTGGGTTTCCTCCGGTTTTTTCCCCACAGTCCAAAGACTTCCTGGTGGGTTAACTGGCTGCTGAGCACTTGCAGACAAACACACCAGGGCCAATTTTCCCAGCAAGCAACTAACCTGCCAGTATGTCTTCGGACTGCGGGAGCACACCCAGTTGAACCCAGGGAGAATACATTCTCCCCACAGATGGCACCCAGGTCCAGAACTGAACCCAGGGGCTCAGCGATGTTAACCACTGTGCCACTGAGCTGCCCTATTGAACAACAGTACATTCAATTTACCAATCATCATTTTTTATATTATGGTCTATCTGTGAAACCCAGGTGAGGAACAAATCAATCGGAAGTACTGCAACTTGGCAGTTTGACTGCGATACTGGCCTGGTGGAAACACTGTCTTTCCTTCTAGTGTCGTGACAGAGTGGTCTGGGCCACATATAGTGACTGTCACAGTGCAACTGCCATGCGATTTGTGTATTTCGAGGTTAGAAAGAATGAGCAAACTGTACTGTAAACGGCACACAGTGACGAGTAAAACATCACAATTGACTTTACAAAATAGTCTGGTGAAATGTTGCAGCCCTATGACACTGTAAACCAGCAGGCATGTGAAGACATCTCTTTTAATCCCAATAGAAATATTGCTCTCGACTTCCAGACGGTTTTGCAGACAAATAGTTCTTAACTTGTTCACTCTGCACGCGGATCACGTGGGAACTTTCCTGCGGTGAACTGTCTGCTGCACAACTTGTGCTTATTCACTCGCACAGCACAACACATCAGTCATCACAGGGACTAGTGAGCAGGAAGGGCCGCATCACGTCACAATGCTCGTGAGCTCTCGCTCCCGCCCAGGGCGAGACCGGCGGTTTGCCACAGCATGGCGACTTACAGTCCCTCCACACAGTTCACGGTTTTGCGCTCGGGCCGAAATTTGCGAAACATTTTCCGCGCCGTCCGCGAGTCCATCTGGTTTCTCGAGACGGAACGGCAGGACTGCGGTTCCGCTTTGACCGCGGCTGTTCCCGGCGCGCTCGGCCTACCTGAGCCGGTGCTTGGCGGCGGCGTCCAGCCTGCGCACGTCGGCGTAGCGCAGCCGGCTGAGCGGCCCGCTGCCGTTCGTGGTGCGGTCCACCGTCTCGTCGTGCATCAGGATGGGGACGCCGTCGGCCGTGAACTCCAGGTCCAGCTCCACGCCGGTGGCGCCGTTCTCGCGAGCCTGGAGCGGGAGAGAGAGGGAGACGCGGGTCGCGGCCTCTGACAGATACCGCGAGAGAAATGACACTTGAGCCCGTTCCCAGACTTCACCCTGTTAAACTCACACCTTCTAGACTCAGACACGAACAAGGTGATTTGTGTGCCGCCGGTCGCGCCGGAAGAGAAACTCTGCCATGTTGTTTCTATAGACTGATGGAAAAAAGCAACGCGGCATTTTCTGGAATGAGAACACTATAGTTTTAGCTTATGTACTTCCACAAAAAGTTGTCATTTTGTTTTAAGCCCTCTGACCAGCAGTACAGCTTGTGCAGTGAGGCACTGCAACTTGCCAATCACATGAAAGCTCGTTAGGTGCACTTTTACCCAACGAGGTCCAGGTGGAACAATGTCTGATCAGGTCACCTTTAAAAAGGCCTTAATTCAGAGCTCAGGTCACTGCAAGAAAAAAGCCACAGTTTTCTGTGCATCCCATAATGTCTTGAATGTCACTAGAAGCAAGGGAGAGGGCCATTGGCATTCTGCAGGCTGGTATGTCATGTGCCAGCATTGCCAGACACTATGGAGTGAGCCGCTCCACTGTGTCCTGACTGCAGAGGAGGTTTCAGCAGACCGGCAGGACAGATGACCGTCCAAGATCCGGTTGCCCTTGAGTGACCACACCAGAGCAGGACTGACACATCAGACTGGTCCACCTGAGAGATCGTTTCAGATCTGCCACGCGTTTATGCTGCTGAAGCTGCCGGCAGACACAATGCCCGCATCAGTGACAGAGAGGCTCCATGCTGCTGGCCTTAGAGCAGGGCGACCTGTCAGGGGCCCTCTGCTCACACCTCCTAGACGTCACACCGACTGGCTTGGGCCAGACTGAGGCTGCGATGGACTCGTCAGCAGTGGCATCAGGTCCTCTTCACCGATGAGTCACTCTTCAGCCTGTCCCACACAGACAGGAGGGCCAGAGTGTGGAGGAGGAGGTGTTGCGTTTCTTTTTTTCCATCAGTATATATACAAAGTTGTTCAGACTTGCAAAACTTTACAATCTTTAAGTGTTTTTAAACATGAATGTTAGATTTAAGGAGTTTAATGTTAGGTTTGCTCGGCTAGAAGTAATTTGGAAACAGAACCTTGGTGTATAACTAATCTGTTGGTAAACCTGGCTAGATATCACATTCACAAAGCACTGATTAACCTACAGGTCTGTCTTTGGCCTGTGGGAGGAAACTGGAGCAGCAAGAGGAAACCCATGTGAACACAGGAAGAACATACAGTACACACTCCAAAGTCCATGCAGATCAAATCCAGAGCCCCATTCTGCTCAAATATTGACAAAATATAAATTAACTCAATTGCCTAGCCAAAAATAAGTAGCTTGAAATACTAATAATTCAATTAAAGAGAGAACTACACGAGCCAGCTTTTTAAAATTACAAGCACCTACCCTAACAGTGAACTTGGTGTGACCCCATTATTTCTGTATCATTTATGTCATGGCCTTTGTGTGCTCATCTTTTGTTTTCTCCGATTTTGCTTTAAATGTTACAGATTCACACCTAATCGAGAGGAGGCGTGGTCTGGGTGTTCCATTAGAATGGGAGAGGCTGACCTTCACTATATAAGATCTGCCAAAGCAGCATGAAACAGCTTTGTGCTCTCACACAGGCTGTTTCCTGTGGTTTGGCTGCCTTGTCTTGGTCATGGACTGTTTTTTATATGTTCATTGTGGTTTTTGGGTTTGTTTTTTGTTTTGTAGGGAAGTTAGCTTGTTTTATGTGAATAGGGGAGTGTGAGTAGTCAGAGAGTCTGAGGAAAACTTGTTTTGGATAAGTTTGTTTTTTTTGGGTGGGGGGTCCTATGTTAAGTGTGTTGGAGTATATTTGGATAGAGTAGTATCCTGTTTGGAGAAAAATGAAGAAAAAGGCCTGTTTCGTTTGTAAAGCTATTTTATGTTGAGGCTTTAGTTATGTATATTATAACAAACCCGGGGCTTAGGCCATAACATGCGGAGTTCGTCCGGGTTACCGAAGTTAGTTTGCTGTGCCGGTTGTTTTGCGTCTTTGTTTTGTTTGTGCAGTTATGGAATTTTGATATTAAGGGTTTGTTGATAACCTGCACAAAGGCTGAACCTTTTTTTTTTTTTTGGAATGCCGTATATTTCCAATCGGGCGTAACCTGTACTGCCCGGAAGGCTGAACTTAAAGCTCAAATAGTTACTGTACTTCTCTGGTTAAACGTAAATTACTTGTTTTTGATCCATCATCGCCTGTGTTAAATTGTCCAGCGACGGTTTTCGAATGAAACAACTGGAGGTCGAGTTAATAATGAAGGCGCTAGAGGTTAGAAACGGAGTTGGAAATTAACGGTTGGAAACGAAACGGTTGAAGAAAATGCGCTACGTTTGGAAGAGGTTGCGCTGGAAGCGAGCAAAATGTGAGCTCCTCCGTCTGCTGGGTTTGGTGTAGGCCGGGATATTCGTCTGGTTTTACCGAGAGGTGGATCGATATTTTGCCTACTTGGAGCGTGTAGCTACTTAGCATGAATGGGCAAAGCTTGGTCTTTACTCCCAGAGTGTGCTTGGTAGAATCAGAGACGCTTATTCCTCTTTAACTATGGATCACAGTCCTGGCTGTGAAGTGGTTATAAAATACCATTGAGCGGACATATGAGCTGGTTCCTCAAGCTTATCGGGCAGCGTTTTCGGCGATGCAAGAGGGGAGACGGCAAGATGTATGTAAAAGTTGCACAAGAAAGTGTTCGGTAAGTGGTGTGCTTTGTTGCAGGTAAAAGCTGTTGATACCGCTTGTGCAGTTTAAGAACTGCGTACTTCGGGAGACTGGTACGTATTTAAACGAGGGGAAAAAGGAGCTGCGGGTTTCAAAAGTTGCTGTTTTGGCCAACGAGTTATTTTCGACTCGTAGAAACGCATGTATTTAAGGTGAGGCTCCTGCGAAGCTCAGGTTTGCATGACGGTGCAGCGGAGGTACAACCGACGGGTTCTGCAGTTGCTGTAGAACATCCTGCTCGTTAGTCTAATGAGCATCAGAGGAAACATCCTTGCAATTATTCGGTTATTAGAGAAACGCTTTCATTTTTTCTTTGCTTTGCTTCATTTTGAGATTTAGGTTTCTGGACCTTCACCTTGGGTATCTGCCGCTGAACATAACCCACTAGTAGCGTCTCCACCGAAACAGGAAGAAATTCAAATCGGAGACTAACGCGAAGGAGTTTTACAAGCGTCTTCTCTTGATATCCGACATGTCCGAGGAGGAGACGATGTTGGGGCAGGTGCTTTGTCTCGAGTGTAAGTGTGTTTTTATTATTTTAAAAAGTTCACAGATTTAGGTAAATATAACTTGGAGGGTACTTTTTATGTTTTGAAAGGGTGGGAATGTCCTTTACGTGCTCATTTTCCTCTGCTTTTTGTACAGGTGGAGGGGAGGTCTGTCGGACGGTCAGGGGGTCTCCTCGGTCTCGCACAGGGCTTGACTGCTTGTGCTCACTACCGGACGGGCTCGCAGAGGCCTGCGTTTTGTATGTTAAACTGCTTCCAGTTTATATTCCAACAAACTGGTCTTGGGCCGTAACAAGTCTAGTTGCTCCAAAGCAGTTCCCCCCCCCCACAGAGATCAAGCTTAAACCACTTCTCCACACTAAGGTTTTAATCCCGTGGGTTATTGCGGCCCTATTTAGTCCCCTTTTCACTCAAAGTGCTTAAGTGAAGTGCCCAGGTAGTGGGGAAACGACCCTTGTTTGTCATTTAATGCATCAGACAATTAAAACTAGGCCATTCCTAGGCAGGATGCCGCCGCCTTGCGGCCGCAGGTGGGGATGCACCATGCTCTTTCACGCTCTCCTCGTACAGCACAGTCTGCTTGGGTTTCCAATCCGAGCTCTTTCGTATCTGGATCTAACACTGCTGTTACTAACGACACGCATGAGGTTCCTCTAGTGGATGATGTGAAGTGTTGTGCAAGTCCGGTCTGCTGTGCCCCCTCATTAAAGATCTGGAAATTTCGCATCTGTTTCCCTTTCCGTGGGGCGAGCATGCGTCGTGTCAGGCGGTGGACGCGTTCAAAACACCCGGTCCACACACAATTTAAAAACCCTCCGTCTTGTTCCGCGGTCGAGAGAAGGGGTGGGGGAAGACACAGCGGGCGCCGGGGTTTGTCCATGCTCAAAGCGGGGACTCACCTTCCGGATAGCGGCCAGGGTGTTCTCCGGAGCGTCATGTCCCCCGCCGCGGTGCGCCACCACCGCCACGCCGCCGCCGGCCGCCCGTCGGTCGGGGCGCAGCACCCTCTGGGCCCGGCTCCCCGCCCCCGGCGGGTACCGGAACAGGACCAGGAAGAGGTAGAGAGCCGCCGTCCCGCCGGTGGAGCACAGCGGGCTCCGGGTGCCCAGCAGCAGCACGAAGAAAACGACGGAGAAAAAGGCTAGCCCATCTCCTAGCTGCAGCATTGTGGCGGACCCGTGTGTGCGTCTGTGTGACGATCCGGCTACCGCCGAGGCACGGCTCCGTGTGCCGGCGCTGTCAGCTGGGGGAGGCGGTCGGGACCCGGCGCTAACAGCGCTCTTGTGCCTGGCCGTCCAGCCCAGCGCGCAAGCGTCCTCTCCGCCCGGGGGAGTGGGCAGGGCCGGGCCCGCAGGACCCGACCAATAACAGCGCAAGGCGCACTTACCCCCGGCGGGGCTGGGAGACCCGACCGGCGGGGGGCCTCGCCCGCGCAGGGGGGTAGGGTGCTCGGCCGCCTTGACCCTTGACTGTATTGCAACCCAGTCGTTTCGTCTCGGGGAGAATGAATATTAATTTAGATGCTGGATGGGATTTGTTAGATTCACCTACTCCCCCCTTCCCAGTACCATTGTCACTGGCGCTAGCTGCAGAAATCGAAAATAAACCTTCAGTCAGATTGTATGAAGTGGTAAATGGTCCATACAGGGTTGTTGTTTTTTTTTAAGTTAAACCATCCAAACTGGACACTGTTTGTATTACTGAGCCATTTTTCTGGGCCACGCCCAAAATCTAGTCCACGAAATAACTCCGCTCGATGAAATAGAAACCCCCAAACAATATAGTGTATAATCGTTCCCTCAATGAAGGAGTACTTTTCCGGATACTGAAGATATCGAGTCCGTTTTGAAATATTGATTTATTGCTAACAATTCAGCTTGTACAAAATTAAAGGAATAACAGAAACTGGTGCTTTATTGTACTGATTTAGTCCCAGAAAATGACAGTGGACATAAACGATGAGCTGGAAAAGCCTGCCGTGAACTTTAATGACGTTAATAAAACAGTTTAACATTTATTTGCTGTAAACGTGCTTGATTCTCAAAAAGACGACAAAGCTGTGCCCATTTTACTAGAGCAGGCCAGTTTGTAAGAGGACGGCTTTATCAGCTGATCTGCATTAGAGGATAATTAAAGCTGCCGTTATCTGGACATAGTCTCACGGAGTGGTAATTAATTAATTAGGTGATTGGTGAAGGGTTTAGAGGTCACATTCTCACAGGGGGATCAATCAGTACTGGTTGGTGTATATAGCGCTCAGAGGGGGGAGTGGCAGAGTGTGTGTATTTGTGTTAGGAGTCTCCTCAGCTGTTCTGCCTGAGAGCCGATTGTGAGTTTTGAAAGCGTTTGGACCCTTTAAGCTGCCTACCAGGAGCTGGGGCTTGTTGCAGTGGACTACAATTGTTAACCGCTGTTGAGAGTTGTCAACTCTCTAAAAGTAGACTGCATTGTAAAGGCTGTCCAGAGCTTCTTTGTAAAGCTCTGTTGTTTGGGGGTGTCAGAAAAGCAGCCCACTTAATAAAGTAAGACTTCAATCCGTGATGGCTGTGCATGTGTGTGTTTTACTTGCAGTTGCTTTTTGCACGAGGGACGTGCTCATCCTTCACCTCCCAGCAGAGAGCAGTTCTGAAGCGAGGCCTCTGAGAATGATTTAAATGATTGAGGTGGATTTGCTTGTTGTACCTGATGCTTGTTGTGGGTGAGGGATGTGAAGATGGTTGTAAATGTTTTATCCTCAAAGGTGGCTCATGTTTAAGTGCTGAAAAGCTAAGGGGAAAAACTATCTGAAAAAGGCTTGAAAATGGATGTGCTAATGTGCCTTGGGTCCAATGCCAGACCTGGGATGCTGTCTGTGTGGAGTTTGTATGTTCTGCCTGTGTTCACCTGGGTTTCCTTTAGGTGCTCTGGTTGCCTCCCTCAGCCCAGAGCCACTGGCAGGTTAATTAACTTTTGGGAAAGTTGGCCCAGGTGTGGGTGTCCGTCTGCCCTACAATGGACTGGTGCTACCTTGAATACATAAGGATAAGAAAGTGGGTGGATATTTGTTCGATAAAATGACGGTGCAGCTGCCGGAGAAAGATTGTCCCCTGCCTCATAAACCTAACAGATTCACACAGAACTGTACCAAGTGTTAAAAGTTCCTCTGGTGCTCAGTGGACGTGTGAAGAGGGGATGTCGGTGCATCTGCTGTTGCCCTGTACACAGTGAGTCGGCTTCTCACGGCCTCCCGGCAGTGGGCGGGGCTTAGGGGTTGCTAGGAGGCGCTGTTGCCGCCGGAAGATGGCGGCTGCTAGGGAGAGGCGGGCGTTGGTGTTTTATGCTAGAAACCGACAAAAATAACCATGTTGACGAAACCACCGTATTCGTGCGCACGTAGTATAACCGATTTACGATCTCACCGACGGCATTTCTGTGAAATTTAAGGAAAAGTAGGCCCGTTTCTTCGTTTTGCGTGTCATTTGGACGTGAGGTAAGGAGGGGGCTTTCTCATGATGAACTGTCACAATCATTACAGCAAGTTCATTATAGCGGGGTGTTTATAGCTGGGCTGGTTGCCGTTGGTTAACAGCACCACTTATTTCGTTATAAGATAGTTTTCAGTCTTTGATAATCCTAGACTCTTCACGCGTACAGCATTTCGTACAGTGGCGAGAAAATGATAAATTTTGCGATTCCAGTACGGTTTTATGCGGAGAATGGTTATTACCGTATTTATACGATTTAGTATACAGCTTAAAAAGCCCTCGGATATTTTATGACAGTATAAAGTTGTTTTTCATATATCGTTTATCTTAAAAGGCACGGAAGAATACAGCAGGATAGGAGAAAGACTGTATTTAACGAGCTCAGCCGTTGCGGGGGGAAACGCGTTAGGAGTCGGAACTGCTGGGGCATTATGGTCCAGGAGACATTTCTGGAAAACTGTTTTGTTTTAACAAGTCAGAAGAGGAAACATGGGTTGCTACACAGTAAATAAAAAAAGAAATGCACTAAACCACAGGTTTGCCCCCATAAGTTTGTTAATTAATTTGGAGTGAAAGGTTATAGCGTGAGTCTGGGTTGTGTCAGAGAAATTGCAACGGTCAGGCAAATATAATCTGTGTACCTAATAAATAGTTTTTTGCAATAATAATTAGTCGTTTTCTTAATGAGTACATTCATTTACTCACAGCCTTTGGTTTGAAAATACTTGTTCCTCTGAAGAGTTGGCCCGTGATCGTATTTTACTCATTACCTTCCTATCTTGGCTGGGTTTTTCTGAGGTAAAGATTGGTAGGTAGAACATTTAATTTGATTCAAAAGGCTTGAAAAACGTTTGACAGAGGAAATCAGTGTTAATTTGACTACTTTACTGTTAGTACCTATTATTTACCACCTTAAGCTCTACCCTACTCTTTTTTAAAAAAAAAAGCTAAAATATGTACTGTATGTACTGTACCTGTACTTTTCTTAGAGGCATGTGAAATGTTTACAGATGTATCAGTTTAAAGATACCTACTGTATAATCAGATTTTACCTGTCTAATTCATCACAGCTCCTTGGGAATGACAACAGTTATTGGAAACTTTTCCCATTTGAAGGATAAATACCCTCTCATTTATGACCAAATAAGTCTACAGACTCTGGCTGACTACGAGGACCACGCGAAATGTTTTTTTTTAAAGATTTTATTTAAAATTTGAGTTCACCTTGGAGAAGGTATTAGCACCACTTGCTCTTCATGCAGACGATTATATAGATTTTTTGACATACATAGTGGTCAGCATTGCTGCCTCGCAGCTCCGGAGGCCTGGGTTCAATTCCTGCCCCGGGGGCGCTGTCTGTGTGGAGTTTGCATGTTCTCCCCATGTCCATGTGGGTGTCCCCTGGGAGCTCTGGTTTCCTCCCGCTGTCCAAAGACGTGCTGATAGGATAACTGGCTTCTGTGACGCAGCGGGTCCTGGTGTGACTGTCTGTCCTGCGATGGCCTGCCGCCCTGTCCAGCGCGTACCCTGACTTGCGCCCGTTGCTTGCTGGAAATTTGGAAGAAGTAGTTAGAAGATGGGTGGTTGGATAAGTTGCCATATTATTAGTCTGTATGGTTGTGTGCAGAATGGTAACGGGTGTATTAAATGTTTTAGCGAGGTTTTCTTCATTGGCCCGTCGGAGGTGGCCGTGGATGGACCCCCTGCTCTTGCACTTCTGACTGAAAGGAAAATGACCGCCTGGTGTCTTTGAAAGGGGGGTCAGTTGAGAAGGTGGGGCTGCTTTGTGAAGCTGCTGTTCGCATTGGCTGTTCCCTGCAGACACTGCCACGAGCGATGACTTCATTCTCCCTGGGAAAAGGAGTTTGCTGGGAATCCAGCCTTGTTCAGGGGCTGTGTTACAGTCAAGTCAGGAGCTTGTTACTGGGTAACGAATCAGACTCCCGTTCAGTGTGCATTTTGTCTATTTAGAAGTTTGCACACCGCTGGTGGCTACAAAGACCATCTTAGGTAAAGGAAATTTCAAGTTTGTGCCCTTACATTTGGTAAATGGTCATATGTAGAAAGGTGACTTTAAAAATGTTTTCTTTTTTGTTTCTCCGTTGCAGTTTTTGTTCTGATGAAGCTGCCTGCACTGTTACGCAAAATGAATGCCGGTGTTCTGCAGCGGGCGTCATGTTTGTTTCTGGGCCTCTGCAGCTTGGCATTCTTGTCCAGTGAAAGACATGTGAAGCACTACAGCCTGGTGCTTGCTTTGCTGTGCTTTGCTGTGCTGTCAGGAGAGAATGAACATGGCTGTCCCCTGTGTTGCGTCTCTGCAGCTTGCCTGCGCGGGGATGGAGAGCTACGAGGACTTCTGCACACGCAGCTTGGCACACCTGCAGGCGCAGGGGCAGACCCACGGCGTGGCCACCCACCAGCAGGGGGAGCTCTCCATCATCCAGTTCCATGGAATGCCAGTACTGTCACCTCTGGTAGGGAAAGCAAAATGTCACATATAAAGACATCTGTCTTATTTACTGGGTTGCTGGTGGTTCCAGAAACACATCCAGCCTGTTCTCTTAGGGATCCGCTTCGACCGCAGTGCTTGGTGGTTTGTTCCACACAGTTGGGATCAGTAGAGACGCTAGCCTAGTCACCATCGTAATCATTCCTTGCTTATGTCAGACTCTTTTCACCCTTAAGGATCCCAAGCTTTTTTGCACATAAGAGGGGACCCACTTCATCCATCATTGGCGTACAGCACCTGCCTGGGGGACCAGCGTGCCCAGTACATTACATAAATCCAGACTAAATCTCGTCTACGTCTACAGCTGGTTGCTCCGATCTGCGATGCAGCCAATCAAAGCTTTAAAAAATATTTAGACTGAACAATATATTTTGCTGAAGGATGTAGTATATTGAAGAAACCTAGACAGAAAGTGATGTAAGGTGTGAAGGCCAGCTGGAAAACTGCTGCTAATGTCCTGAAAATGCTCCTTAAAGTATCTTGGCCTTCAGCTTTTCAGTTTGTGTTTATTTCTAGCAGGGATTTTTATCAATAAAGCATAACGCATCTTCTGAACAAATGTCTGTGAGGTGTCCTTGCTGTTTTATTTGATTAGACAGAGCTGCCCATTCCAGATTGCTTTTAGGTTCTATAGCGGATGACTGGCTGTTATAAAACGTCAGTAGAGTATTGCTACAACGTGGTCTAAGGAGCAGGGCCGCTCAGTCAAGCGGTGTTTTTTTTTTCTTTGTTATTGTTGATGTCACTAAGTAATTGTAGCTGGAATGATCTGGCTGCAGTCTCTGGTCACATCAGCGTGTGGCCTGCGACTGTGTTTGAATTTCAATGTGCATGGTAACCAAGGGGAATACGCCGGGGGTGGTTTCTGTTTACAGTAGTAGTAATAGCGTATGCTCCATGTGCTTAAACATTTGCACTCGGAGACAGGAGGGCTCATTTCTGTCACCGGCGTCAGCATCCAAAAGGAACGGAAGAATTACAGGACGCTGGCTCAGATTAAACTGTGATTTGCTTTCTGGAAGCGGGAAGAGTACAGGAGGTAATTTACACTCTTAGAAGGATTGCTTATACCGTGGGACAGGATACACAAACCACATTTCTGGAAGATTTCAGAGTGCTGTATTTGCAATATAATACTTAAGTTTGTAAAACAATATTCTTGTACATCAAGCTATAGACACCTAGTTTGACATTTGTTATCCTGTACATTGTAGATCTTTTTGATCAATGTGTGTTTTTTTGCGAAAGAGAAAACATTTCTAAGAGAATCACGACAAGCTGAATAGTGTGATTCTGCTCTTAAACCCTCAGTGATATAGTGCTTTAGAATATGGTGTACATGTCTATTTAACTGTGAATTAAAAGAAATTCATTTTCTTTTATAAGTTATTGGAGGAGTAAAGTCGTTTGGTGCAATTAAGCTTAAATACATCTACTGCATATACTGTACATGGTTATCAAGTTTAGAATCAGGTCAGTATATCCTTTCTGTCTGTAGATCTAACCTACATATTATGGCTTTATTGGTCAGTTGAACACAATACTCTTGGGATCAGATGTTGAATAAAAATGTATGTTTCTTTTGGAATTATGTAATTATAGTGTCTAGAATTATCTAACATTTAAATACTTACATTCCAATGTTATCCAATGATGTGGACTATGGACATTGGAAAGGGGTGTGTGTTCATCTATACCTCCAAGTCAGACCCATTTTACTGCTTATCATGAGTTCTTCTTCATAGAGAAGAATGGAGCTAGGAGGGAGTTGAGGATAGTGTCAAGTTATTCACTGTAAATTAACTAGAATGGAAATGAACAAACTGAGCTGCATCTGTAACAATCAAGGAATTAATTTAAGAAAACGTGTAACCTTCTAAATGCTAGGCTGAATATCTAATTTATATGGCCTTTGATGTCCAGTTTAATACAGTTTACAATACTGAATGCAGTACTTCCTTAAGGCATTTGATCGAGTGTCTGTGTTTGTATAAATACTGTTATCTTTGTCTGGCAATGTTAGACTGTAAAGAAGGTCAGGTGAAACAAATGACCTAGGGTAGCTATATATGACAAAGAGATCATTTGACTTGATTATTTACCTAGCTTTTTTATAGAAAGGGAAAAAAAGCATGACCTATTAATGAGTAGTTTATGATGATGTTATGGAGGTTCTCTTTTTGATTTTACATTGTGATTTTCATAACAAGAGTGTAAATAAAAAGAATCACACAGTGGATTTTAGAGGACACCTGTGAGAAATTGTTCCCACTCCACAGTTTATACTCGGTTTGTGTCAATTTGCTTCTTTCGTGCAATGCTCAGAAATGTAATTTTTAGGATAAAATGATGTGGCAGGAAATATGAGGATACAACACTGAGATTTTTATTCAGGAAAATCTCAACCAAGCAACAGAATGACACAAATACGTGACTAGAAGAACTCATGCTTGTGGTCATCGCATTCAGCTCCCTTACATTGCAGGCTAATTTAATTTGCCATATACTTCTGAAAGTTGCAGAGCTATAAAGCAGAGTTCCTCTTTCCTCAGGTCTGTCACAGCACAGTTCTCAGAATCACAGCCCCAGCTTGTTGCTTGAATCTTCCCTTTTCACCCTGAGCTGTGGCACATAGTCCGAAAGTGTCTTTTTAGCTGTTCAATCCAATTCCAAACTGATGGATTTTACTGGGTACGTGTAGATCATGGTTAAGTTGAAAATCCAAGGGATTGTTTGATATAGTGTAACATGTTATAAGAATACCCTATCTTATTACTTGTTTGTTCTCTTATTAATGTTTTCCTGGATCCTTTCTTTTTCTGGGACATATTTAACAGTATAATAGTCTTCATTGAGTGTGCAGCTGAACAAATGTTATTTGGACCAGTATAAAGCAAACTAAAGCTGGTAAGCTGAATGAGAAAAATTGATCTATTAAAGATGGTTTATACTGTGAGATCCAAACAAGATTAGTACAGTGCAGCACATGTGTACATATACTGTACACGTGATCCACTGTGTCTTGAATGAGCTGAGTTTTGGAGTGTTTGGAATAAATAGAAGGAAAAATGTGTATGTAGTGATAAATAACTATTTATCTTCTGTACTGTACGTCACTGCTGAAACAATTTAATTTGACTTGATCCGTAGTACTTTTGCCTGGATGTTTCCTTAGTTTGTCTTAAACAGGTTCTGAGCTGGAAATGAACAGAAAAGAGAAAGTGCTTATTATCTTGGGCGCATAAATTGCTAGAGGGTGCTGACAAACAGGATCCCAGAGTGTTATTTACAGTATCATTCACCGTTACGTTGGGTGCTTTGTCCTTGAGGCACGTGTTAATTCCTTATTCAAGTGACATCGAGCTTGTCTTAAATAGAAGATTAATCTAGAGCTGTGGGTCTGCTGCAGTATCTGCAACGTTCTTACAAACCGTAAGAAAGGCCGTGATGTTGACCTCCATAAGCACGGTCAAAATGACAGCTCTATTGGTTGAAGCCATTGCCCATCAGCAAGTCTGCCAGCTCCACCGTGTTTGCTGGTCATATTACCAGCACACATGGGTGAAGCACGTGAAGGTGGGATTTCTGAACGGCAGGGCGGGATTCGGGCAGAGAGGCGCTGCCACGGACTGCTCCCTGATCCCCCCACCCCCACCTGTGTTCCAGCTGAGCCCGGAGCGGCGGCAGGAGATGACGCAGTACAGGCAGCGGGCCGCGGCGCTGGAGGAGCAGCGGCTGAGGCTGCGCAGGAGCTCCCTGCTGTCCCGCGTGCAGGAGATCCTGGACAGCGCGCAGGTGAGCGGCACCAGACGGGGCGCGGCGCGGGCGATCAGGGGAAGCGCGTCGATCTGGTGACTGTGAACCATGGGATTTTATATCCTGGACTGAACGATCATTAATCCCTTCCCCTAACCTGCTGACATTTGAAATCCGTTGAAAGTAGTGAAGTGCTGTCCTAGCCTCTGACATTATATTCCTCTAAGATAAGTGTAAGCTCGCCCATCTGCCATAAAATGAACACACCAGCTGCCTGATACTCATCCGGAGGGACTTGTATACCAATGCTCATCTGTCCACGGGGAATTGTGAAGCCTGTGTGATTTTATTATTTTTTTTGTCACAGGTTGTGCAATGTGAATTGGTAACCGTCAGCCTTGTTTGTCATTGTGTTTCTTGTGCTGGCGAAAGAGTTAAAGCTTCAGGAAGCTTGTTGTTTACCACTAACCCAACCCATCTCCCCAGCTGGGAGCGGGACTCGAGTCTCTGTTGACATTTTCTGCTTGGAGACGGCTGGAGAAGCATTGATCTCAAGCATCGGAACAGCCTGCTGACTATTACAGACACAACCCCTTCAGACTGACTCAAACTGGCTTTACACACTGTCTTTTGGAGCCCTAGGTCAATAGCTATGACGCAATCTGTTTACAGGTGCATAGTTTTTCATTCTTTTTACGCTTAAGGATAGATAATCTTAATTAATGTGTAAGCTTCGAAGTAGTCTAGGGTGGATATGTATATTAATCCTCTTTAGGAATGTGCCACTACTGCTTTTTCTGTTTGGCATTGCTGTGGCTTTAGAAATTGTAGGGTGTTATATAAACTGGTGATGAATTTGAGTAATCAATGACTCTGTTTAGCATTTCATGTGGTTACAAAAATGATCCTTTTGTAGATGTTATGATAGTACCATTCCTACAGTACATCTTCTGCAAATTAGATTTCTTTTTAAAACTTGCCTAAGAAGTGTCATCATGTAAGTCTTAAAACAGTTTAGTCAGTGGACTACTTAACAAAACCCTGAAGATGGATGAGTATTGGACCATACAGTATGTGACAATTTTAAGTGCTTTTGCTTTTTAAATCTGAAATGTTCCTGGGAAAAAAAAACATTTAAACTGATGAAGGCATATTTATCAGTAATGTTTTTGTCTTTGGAACACTTGTGTAATGTAGTTCTTCAGGTTTATCTTTATTGATCCATTCAGAAAACAGGATAAACAAGATTCCACTGTAACAGAATGACTTTGTTTATCTTCCGATTCTAATAAATCCTCTCCGAAATTACTCTGGAAGATATTACAGTAAATAGAAACTGAATGTGTTAAGGATTCCTACATGATTTGTGTCAGTGAGCAAGATTGCAAATACATATGAAATACAGGTGCAACTATATCAGTGACCACTAATTCCACATTTGTTTTATGGATCATCATTATTAATTTTGTCTTCCAGATTCTGTGACATAGATCATCACAAGGGAGTCTGTTTAAAATCTTGTGAATTTTTTGTATAAGTACAATTTGACCCTTTGTGAATCTTTTCATTCCTGTCTCCTGTCTCTATGTCCTTGAGGGATTCAGCATGACACCATTGAAATGCATTGCCCTAAATCTAAATCGATAACTTCATAAAGTGAAAGCTAGTTGTAGAGGTTTTCGGTCACTGTAGATGGAGCAGTGAGATGTCAGGGGGGCTGTGGTGCGTGACGCTCTGTGTCTCTCTGCAGGTCCGCAAGGTGCCAAAAGAGGGCGACTCTGTCTCCAGCAGCTGCTCCCTCAAACCGGAGGCCAAGAACGGCTTTGCCCTGCTGCCCGACCTGAACGGATTGCCAAAGGGGAAAGTGTCTGCTGGGGATGCTGCGCCCCTGAGGACCAGAGAGCATCATCCCCTGCAGCACAGCGGTGCCTCACTTTGGCCAAAGGGGGAGGAGGCAGAGGACAGGAGCTGCTCACTGAACCTGCAGAGCCTGTTGAGGAAATCGAGGGAGTACCTGGAGAGGGAGCAGAGCCAGCGCGGTTTCCGCAGCAATCACAGGGCAGCTCCGTGCCTGGGCGAGAGTCTGTCGGACAAGGAGAATGAGAGTGGGGATGGGAGCGTGAGTGGGGGGTCAGGAGGGGAGCCCACCCACGGGCCTGGCCGCAGTGGCGGCTGCAGCCCCAACCCCCCCCCGCCGCCGTCGGGCTCCGACTCCGACGGCCCCGACTCGCTGTCCTTGCTGCCCCGCAGCCTGACGGGCTCCTACGCCCGCCTCCCCAGCCCCGAGCCCAGCCTGAGCCCCAGGGTGCACCGGCGTCGCCCACGGCCCCTGTCTGCCGGACACATCGTCATCACGTGCCCGCTCAGCGCCTGTGAGCTCAGCCCCTGCCTGGACCGGCAGGCCGCACGGGGAGAGGAGACCTCGCCGCCAAGGGTGTTCCCTGGGGACCCGGGTCCGGCAGAGCCCTCCACCCTCGATAAGAGACACAGCAGTCCCGTCCCGCCCCTGGAAGCCCAGGACAGGGAGGCCCCAGTCTTCCGCAGACGCTCCCAGACCATGGACAGCCACCTCTCGCCTGCCGGTCTCCGAGCGTCCCGGGAGAGGGTTCCCGGGTTTCTGGGCGGTCTGCCCTGCCGGGGGTCCCGTCGGCGCTCACCTGCCCCCCTCAACCAGTCTTACGACGTGGAGAGCCCCTCGCCTGTTCTGCTGCGCCCCTGCGTCGGCAGCCCGTCGCCCGAAGCGGGATCCGTGAGGAGGAGGCTGGAGCTGGAGGGCACTCGGGGGTCCAGGGAGGGCCGGCTGACTCCCAGCCAGCCAGCCAGGCCGGGGGAGGAGCAGGGCAGTCAGCCTGAGTCACCGGGCAGCAGTGTGGGTGAGTGGACCTGGGTTAATAACACTCCTGTCTTAGGGGAGAGACTCTGTGGCTGTAACCTTTCGCCATTTCTCCGTGGTATGCTGATAAAGTCTATGTATCCTTGTAAAAGTAAATTCAGCATGTATAGATCTGTTTCTTTTACATATGCGGATTGTTTCACAGTCAGTGGGTGTTCTGCTCTGACCGTCACTCATCTCTTAGGGGTGTATGATTCTGCGTGGAGCTCAGTCATAGACATTTCTAATTCCCTTGAATGACTCTGTTGTGTCACTTGCTTTGAGGGTACACAGCAGTGTTCGCTTCGTAACAGGCTTGAGCGACGCCTGAGGTGTGGCTGAGTGCCATACTTTCTGTTGGAGTTAAACTGCAGGGAAAGGAATGAAGGGAATAAAATTCAGGTTTGATTTGATATAAACCTTATGCACAATACCTAGAAGTGTTTCAGAGTCTTTGATGACAGTGCTTTATCGGCAATATTTACAAGAGGCTGTAATTAACGGTGTTGTGTGTGCATTAGTTCATGTAGTTCATGGGAGTGCTGAAAGTAGTAGTGCTGATGTGTTTTGCATCGATACAGTGCTGTGTCTACAGTATTTAGATCTGTATAGTCTGTTTTCTTGGCGGCTGTTCTAGTTTCCGTGTGAGATAACTTTGGGGTCGTGAGAGAGCTACCTGCTTCTATACTGACGTGTGGCTGACACTGCTTTGCAGGGGAGGAGCTGGTGAAGCGGCAGGTCCTGGCTCTGGAGGAGATGAGGCGCAAGCTGGAGAAGGAACACGCCCTGCAGCTGTCACTGCTGATCGCCGAGCAAGAAAGGGAACAGGAGCGCCTCCGTCAGGTCGGGCAGCTCACTGCGCCACACGCACACGCGCACGCACACGAGAGAGTGCCTGTGATTCCCGGAGCACTGGCTGATCGGACATTCATGCGCATGTACACTGACCCCATACACGCTTGGGAGCGAGTGCAGTGAAACCTTTGCCACCTTTGAATTCCTCCGGCTCCCACAGAGAGCTGTAAGGACAGCGCATGACCACACGCAGCTTATGATGGAATGCTAAATGGTCACCAATCCAGGAATGACAGAATTTTGAATTATCAGCCACAAATCGCATTTTAAACCATCCTGAAAACATTGAAAACCTATGTTTCAAATTTCAGTGATTTCAGAAAGGTCTTTAAATGAAGCACAAATGAACCTCTGTGCGTGGCGCAGGCCTTTGCCGGGTTTTGCAGACGAACGAGCACGCTGAGCCGGCTCCGGTTAGCTCCTTTCTGGATGTCCTCTTGGCTCCAGGGAGCGCGGCCCCCGGTGACAGTGTGTCTGTGTGTGCAGGAGCTGGAGGAGCAGGAGAGGCGCCTGAGGGAGCAGGGGTCTGATCTGGCCCAGGCAGGGGACGTGGGAGACGAGTGGCGGGACATCAGCGAGAGCTGTCCTGCGAGCACCACTCTGGTCCAGGGAGAGAAGTCCTCTGTTCACACCGCACACAGAATGGGTACAGCACACATTGCTTCTTGAATGATGAATGAAGGTGGCACTAGTTTTCCGGATATTTTGCAAGCACTAAACCTTAACTCTTTGCTGGCCTGTTCATCATAGCAGTGCCATCATTGGTATGGAAACATACTACTTGGTTTGTCAGCCTTTGCTTAGGGAGATGTCAGCTGAAGGAGTCTGCAGTTTTTCTCTTCTGAATTCTCTGTCAACAGCAGACAAAGGATGAGTTATTGCCATCAGTGTGCAGAAACTAAATGATAGCAGTCTGATTAATTATGGTACGCTTTTAAGTAACGAACAGAATACAGTTAACAGTCCAAGTTAATGATTTCTCATGAAGCTGCTTGCCCTTTTGTCACCTCTCTGTCTAGGGTTCCCTGCGCAGCTCAGCTCTCACGCCGTCCAGCCTACAGAACAGCCTCCCTTCTACCTTTGGGCCTCGCAGCGCGGGGGCACTAAACTCAGGGGCAGGATGGCACAGGTGAGAGACATTCTACTTCACACTTCTACTCTTACTTCAGGAGCGCTGGTCTCATTAGGTCCGAGGTTCGAATCTGGGTCTCTGCCCTCTCACCAGTGGAAGGAAAGTGTCCCTGGTGACATTGCGGAAATTCCCTGAATTAATAGCTCAGTTGTAGGTGCTAATCTTTGTTGTAGCTGTTCTGTTCTGGGAGTTGTAGGATGGGCTGACAGCGTGTGTGCCGTTGAGCTTTTAGTTCATACAATGCTTGCCACATAAAAACAAGCAAATCTCCCAGAGATACCAAGTAAGAAATTCAAGCACAATACAGAGGGGACACCAAAGTAGCAATATCTATTAAACTGATGCAGATCTTAATTTGGAAGGATCTGAATTTTATACCAATGGTATATAATGTTTTTTTTTTTAATGGGACATTTCAACTGTATTTGGCATTGTAAACTGATTGTGAAGGGATTAAGAAATAAAATTTGCATGTACTGATGAGACGATGCGACTGTAGATGTGACATTTACGTTGTACCTGTGAGTCTGGGGCTAACTTTGCACGTCAGCGGGTTTGGGCCTCATGGAGTACGTGGATGAGATGTTGTTTCTACATGCTGGTGTCTTCCAGTCTGTCCCTCCTGAGCTGCACAGGTGGCTGTGTAGGCTGACCGCTGTGGCCAAGGGCTTCCTGACGCGCAGATTGCTGCAGACAGAGAAAGTCAAGCACCTGCGGCAGACCGTCCAGGTCAGAGCCCGACACCCCCGAGCTTAAGCCTTCTCACTCTCACAACAGCGCGGCCCTTGCATGTTTTTTTTTTAATCATAATAGCAGCCTCTGAGCGACCTCTCAGACAGTGAGAGTGTGGATGATTTCTGCTTTAACTGTGATTTTAAAATGAATTCCTTTCTGTAAAAAAATAATTTTTAATCACATTCTGAGGTACGACTATGAGTAATTCCATTACCAATACCCCAATCAGGACATGACACCTTACTCCTATGCCAGAAGTAGTGCTCCTGGGAAATTAGATTTAATTGCCCGATTCCCACACCACTACTTTCTCCTAAGCCCATCCGCAGCACTAAGCGAGAAATAGCTTACAATAATCCACTTATTGTCAGAAACTTGGTGATTCCTGTGGCTAAGGGTTACTGATCTGGATGGCACCCCAACCCATCACAGGCCCAACATACCCCACACAAGCACACAAAGGCATCCTGACAGTGCGATGCGTTTACAGGACACCAAGGAGTTCATCAGGACCTTCCAGAGTGAAGCACCACTGAAGCGTGGAGCCATTTCTCCCCAGGACATGTCGCTGCAGGAGAGAGTACTCGCACAGGTACGAACCAGAACAGTGCTGGTCTGTGCTCACTTCTTCCTCTCTACTGTAGTTCTCTGTTAGGTGCACTGATCAAGTCTATGCCGATGATGAAGAAGTAGTTCAGGGACCACATTGTGTTTTATACTTTCATCTAGTAGATTTATACATCATGACTGGGGTAGATACAGTGCTTAAGTTGCCTTGTGTACGTGTTTTACCTTTAATAATCAAGATGTTCTCTACAGACAGATTGTGTGTGGGCTGTGTAGTGTCCAGAGGGTCAGCGTGCCTATGTTTGTCTCCTTTAGCTGCGGGCTGCTCTGTTTGATGTGCACGACATCTTCTTCGTGATGCCACTGAGTGAGAGGCTGGGCCTACTGCAGCAGGACAGGCAGCTACGCAAGGAGAGGAAGCTGAGGGAGATGGTATGAGCATCAGTGGGCTTCTGGGGATCCTAACCAGCAGATAGAGATACGGGGGCTGTCTGTTACCTAAACCATTTATTCTTTAAACTAATTTGCCAAAATCATAGAAAAGTAAAGGGTAAAGGAGGAAATTGGATAAGGGTGCTGAAAAGGCTATTATAAAGGCTTTTATATTCTGGGGTGTATTCTATTTTATCCTGTAAAAGATCTTCGGGACTGTAAAGATTTGACCTCGCACCTATTTGCAGGACTGTGGATTTGAGTTGTCTGAGTATATCTGTTGATTTTCCTCAGGAAAAGGCGAAGAGTCCTCGAGAGAAGGTCACGTTGTCAGTAGCCACCCAGAAATCCCTGGACAGGAAGAAGCAGAGGTGAGCATAGATACTGGAGGGAAAGAAACGTTTCACCAGTCCCAACTCTGAAGAATCACAGCACATTAAGGCCTGCTCTAGAACTGTATTAGGACAACCAACCATTGTATTTTTAAATAGTCTATACTTGTCAATGATGAATTGATCTATAATGCCTTGCAAAAAGCATTTGCCCTCTGTAAAGTTTCTAGATGTTGTTGCTGTTGCTTGCCATTATGACGCATTGAAATAGGATTTTATATTCAAGTTTAGTGTGTAATCAGAGTGGGTAATGTAACTTC